ATGAGGGAACGGGCTCTGTGGAGAACCCCCTCGGGCCCACGGCACCCACCTTCTCAATCATGACGGCATAGATGCCCATCTGCTGGAAGCCACGGGTGTAGTAGAGCATGTTGGTCCAGCCCATGGCCAAGGAGAACACCATGGAGGCCACGTACTCCTTGCGACGGCAGAAGTACAGCACCACAGTCCCCAGCATGAACAGTGACTGCACAAAGCTGAGGGTGGAGCGACAGGAAGCGCTGTCTAGGGGCACCCAGGAGGCCTGGCAGCCCCACAGACAGGAAGACCTCGGCTGCCTGGGTCTCTCCTCGGAGGCACAAAGCACAGGCCATGGTGGGAGGTAGCCTGGCTGTCCTGCCTCCTTTAGCGCATGGTTCTCAGTGGGAGCAGTATTGCCCTGATGGGGACAAATGTTGGTTTGGGGTGGGTTGGGGAGTGAGATCGTATGCTCTTTATACATAAAGCACAGATATAAATAGAGTACATAAGCCACCATACAGTATATTTCTGGTATTAAAATTTTATGGGAGGGGCAATTGTAAAAAATATTATCTAAAAAGGTTGAGAAACACTGCTTTAGCCCCAGCAACCTTCCTGCCCAGTCCCCAGGAAAACAGCCTCATGGATAATAGAACCTAGGAGGTTCCTACGCCCGTGAGAAAGGACAGGCCATGCTCTCCTGGGAAACCACAGGTAGAGTCTGATGGTCACACCCTCAAACACAAGAGCAGAGCCAGGGAAAACGTCCCTCAGCCCTCTTAAGCTAGTGGGAGTGCCCACGTCAGAGCCCTGGACAGGGTGGACATCTGGATGATCCTATGGCAGAATCTGCTCAGTGGTCCCTTCTTTCCTTATTCGTCCCAGGCTTCCTTGCTGATCATGACCTCCTCCTGAGAGCGCCCCCAGCTGCACTAACACTGTAGGCCACAATGACCACCTCACTCCCACTGTGTGAGGGAACCCAGCAGAAAGCTGCCACTGTCCTGATGGAAGTCTATTAAAAACGGGTGTCAATAAACAGGCCCATCAATTGAAGTTCTGTCGAAAAGAGAAACCCCTGCATTTGCAGAACCTTGGCCAAATAAGAGCTGGTGCCAGCTGAAGTAGGTAAAGGGTTGCCTCGGGTGGAAAATAGAGTCCCCATATATGGATTGTGGAAGCCGGGAAGCAGTGGACAAATGGAAACTCACTTAGTAGACCAAGAAAGCCAAATCTGAATCATAGTGAAAGCTGAGAGCCAACTCTTTTAACCAAGGAGCCTCAAAAAGCTTAGGGGCCTCTGGAGGGGAGGTGATAAGGTACCTAAAATAAGAAAGAGTGGAGCTTTTGTTGCCGAAGAGAGGGTTTTTGGACGCAATTTAATCAAATACCAGTGAAAGCAAAAGGATGGGAAAAATGAACAAGGGTGCATCCAACTCAGACTATAAACCACAGGAGCCCGTGAAACAGGTCTGGCATCCCCTAGCACCTGGTCCATACCTGGCACAGCGTGGACCCTCGGTATTCATTCACCCCAAAGCGTTTATTAAGTGCCCTCCATCATTCATTCAACAGGTTGTGAGGTCCTACCATGTTCCAGGCTGAGTGCATGCGAGAGAATGAGTGAGAGCTGATTGCTGTCACCTCAGGACTGGGCCAAAAGATGTTGTCTGCTACTGAGGCATTAGAGCCACGGGGTCACTTACAAAAGTATCTCACTGTAGCTGTCCACAAACAAGGACTTCAGTGACGGCCGCCTCTGCAGGAAATATTGAATCTGCAGGTAAACAGACAGAGTAAGGTCCCAGGAAAGGTTAGCTGTGGCTCAGTGGTGAGCACCCAGACTGCTTCCCGAATGGCACCACATGGACCGTGGGAACGTGTCCACGCAGAGCTTTTCGAGGGAGGGGGAGAGCATGGGTCAGGCGAATGGGGTGATGTTACGGGACTCGGTCAGGAGAGTTGCACAAATAGAAAGTGCAATGACAGCTGTAGCTAGAAGTAGAGACAGGAAGGAACATCGCCAAAAGTTATCAACTGTGGTGCTTGAGTGATGAGATTGGGCAAATTTCTTTAAGCAGATTAACCAGTGCTCTCCCCTCCCTGAAAACATTGTGACTGATGCCCACGGCCCTGCTGAACGCTGGCGGCTGTAGGAGACCCTCTCCAGGACGCCCACACACTCCCTACCCTCCCACCTGTTGACCCCGGGTTTGCCACGAGTGCTTTTTGCCTGTTGAAAAAAAAAAAAAGCTACTGCAGTGGCTTTTATTTTATTATAATATAAACTATGAGAGTGAAAATAAAGGTAATTGTTTCCATGAAGACAGAGTCTGGCGATGTGGAAAGATTCTTTAAAGGTTGCTTAAAAAAAATGGATGTAGCTTAGATTAAGGGGGAAAAATCGCAATAATATCAAATTCTTTGTACATGTAACAGTGATCCTACATTCAAAGAAAAGACTGCTCGTATAATCAAAGAATGGCCAAGGAATGTGCATCTATGCGTTTTCAGTTAAAATAAAATGGTTCCAGTACACCCGTAGATTTCTTTCATGGTTCTGAGCTTTAATGGACTGTTTTGATTAATTAAGCAACTACCAATCGTGATCTATCTCTTAAGAGGCTCCCCCTCTGCTTCTGTAATTAAATATTACATTCGGTAGCGATCCCTGACTGTATCCAAGACTGACGGCCTGCGGGGACCCACCTATGGACGCCCACCCTCCAGCCCTGAATGCCTGGAGCCCTGAGTGCCTGGTCGGCTTTTATCTTCACCTCTGCATCCCTGGGCTCCGCAAGCAGGGCCATTTCCTGTCTGATGAATGAAGCAGTGAGGGAGCACTGAGTGGTTCTCCTGGCTTTTTGTTTTGGTGACAATGGAAATTCACAGTGTGGAAAAGAATGCTTACCCCTCGGAAAAAAAAGTAGACTCCCCCTGATACAGAAAGAATCTCTCCAGTGACTCGGAAATAGTCGCCAACAGTGTATCGCAGCTTAAAGGGAGGCTGCAAGGTGCAGAGAAGTTAGTGACTCCATTCACTCATTCACTCATTCATTCATTCATTCAACAAACATTTACCAGGTTCCAAGCTCTGTGATTAAAACCCAGCCCCTGCCTGAGAGGCTCAGCCTCCATCAGGAGAGAGACACGAATAAAAACAATACACTATGATGGGGACACCCATATGGACGCTCCTCTGTGGAACCTGATTCCCAAAGTGGCGGTTCCAGGTGCCAAGCAGACATCCTTACAGTGCCGTGCTGTCTCTCAGACAAGTCGCAGCCCAGAGTCCCGCTGGGAGGAGGGTGATGGCATAGGTGGGGGCACTCTTACAGACCCAATGCCACCAGCTTCCCGCCCCTCCCGAGGACTGGGGTGAGCCCTGGTCTCCCAGAACTGTCCAGGTTTCCCAAGGAAGGTGGAGACACCCCACATGGGTGTGTCATCCGTGTGTTTCAGCCACCATTTCCTTTTAGCCTCCCATCAATGCTTCATAAGCGCTGGTTCGCTAGTCTATCTTATTTTCACTCCTCTTTTCTCTTAAAATGAAGTCATTAAATGGCCTTAATAGGTAGATAGAGATCAGGTTTCACCCAACTAGGAAGTTGAGTTTCTAAATCAAATTTGCAAGCAAGGCACCCTGGAAATAAAAGCAACAAAATTAAGTGTTTGGGTATTAATTCAGAAACTCGAGGGAGTCTATGTTTCCTGCAAGAGGGAAAAAATCTGGTCTTAAGCTGACCTGATGGATGGCCCAGGGCCTGGCACAGAAGAAGTGCTCAAAGGTATATGCCCAGGGAATGGATAATGAGCGACGAGTGAACAAAGGTGGGCGGGTAAGCAGGATGGCAGCGGGCTTAGGGCTTATGCCATCCCAGGACCCTGTGGACACCCGGCTTAGGGGAGAGCTACTTCCTGAGCCCTAATTCCTAGGAATAACCTAGGACTCCCCCTGTGCAATCAGGGACCTCAGCCGCACAGAACCAGAGGCTGAGGGAGCAGCAGGGAACAGGAGAGAGGGCAGGTTTCCAGGACAGCCCAGAGAGCAGGAGAGGAGTGCAGGGCCCAGCCTGGGTCTGGGGTCCTGAGGGTCATATAGGAACGCCCCTCCCCTCTCCCCACACCCCACGCCGAGGCCCGAGCCCAGGCCGCACCAAGCCGTCCACAGGCCTGTAGTAGGCGGCCGTGGTGAAGATGATCATGTACAAGCAGTAGACGAAAAAGTTGAAGTAGAAGATGCGCTTGACAAATCTGTCCCACTTGTCCTGCAGGAGTCGGTTCAGCGGCTCCACCAAGAGCATGTCATGGCGATTCTAAGGGAAGCAAAGAGAGATGAGGCTCACTCCCCACCAGGAACCACCTCGAGCCTTCATTAGCCGAAGGTACTCCTCACACCCACATCTCTGCACAGGACCCACCATGACCATGCCCTCGGCCCACAGAGCCGCTGAGGGTCACAGACCTGAACCAGCAGGCCCCTCTGGGCCTCGTGCTCCTGTGTGTACAGTGAATGAGTGAAACTGCACACATGACCCTAAGTGCCCCTGACACCTAAGAACTAGCAAGTGTTGCCCGAAATTCTATGCCCATTACCTTTAATAACTCACTTCTGAGCGCCTACATCCTTATTATTCCCACAATCATGGGAAGAGGCTGCCAGGCAGAGTCTGGCACGAGGCTGCTCGGGGAGGGGCTGAGGGCAGATATGAAGAGGCCTCTGGGTTCTCACATTCCCAGGCTTGGGTCAGGCGGGCTATCCAGGCAGAAGTGGTAATGACCGATGCATGAGACTGAAGGCAACTAGACCAGTGGTTCTCAACCTTCTGGCCGTTTAAATACAGTTCCTCATGTTGTGACCCAACCATAAGATTATTTTTGTTGCTACTTCATAACTGTAATGTTGTTACTGTTATGAATCGTAATGTAAATATCTGATATGCAGGATGGTCTTAGGCGACCCCTGTGAAAGGGTCGTTCGGCCGCCAAAGGGGTCGCGACCCACAGGTTGAGAACCGCTGAACTAGACAGTCTTCGCTGCAGTGGGTGGGGCTGTGCCTGGGACATCATCATTACACGTGTGCTTTGGGGCAAAAGTCTGGTACCCAGGAGATCTCTGTTCAAATTCAAATGTCCCCGGATGGAGGGGCCAAAATCAGGTCATCCCAGCCTCTTCAGACTATCGAGCCCAACCCCCCAGCCCGAACTTGAGCGCCTCCAAAGAGATCCTTGTTCAGTGTCTTCTTGAGTAACTTTGGGAATGGGAAGCTCCTTGCTTCCTCAAGAAGTCTGTGTCACCCAATAAATTCAATTTTAAATATTACAGCAATGAGAGAGCATTTTTTGCCCCATTCACTTGAAGTAGTCTTAAAACAATAAAAAGATTGATAATACCCAGGTCGGCAGGGCTAAGGGCAACTGTGTACCTATTGATGGTGGCCAAATGCATTGAAAAAGTTTTTTTTTTTGGCTGAAACCGGTTTGGCTCAGTGGATAGAGCGTCGGCTTGCGGACTGAAAGGTCCCAGGTTCGATTCCGGTCAAGGGCATGTACCTGGGTTGCGGGCACATCCCCAGTAGGAGATGTGCAGGAGGCAGCTGATCGATGTTTCTAACTATCTCTCTCCCTTCCTCTCTGTAAAAAATCAATATATTTTTTTTAAAAAAAGTTTTTTTGGAGGACAATTTCATAGTAGCTATTAAAATGTTAAAATGTACATACTTTTTGACTTGGCAATTCCAACTCCAAATATCCTTCATAGAAAAAAATCTCAAACCCGTGCCAAGTGGCCTGTAGCATCGTAGTAGCAAAAACTGGAAATAACTCGAACATCCTTCTATGGACATGTCTCCCCATCCCTGCTGTGGAATACTATGCAGCCCTGTTTTTAAATGCAGCAGGCCCATGTGGACTGATAGGAAATTGTCTGCGAGACACATCAGTAAGTGAAAATATTGGTCGCTCTACATCATGTATAGCATGACCCCATTGGTGTCAACAAAATGAAGTTGCCTGTCTGTATGGGATAAAAGGAGGAGTCTTTCTGTCTGTGTACTTCTGATTTACCTTGTTAAGGGAGTATCATTGTATAGTGTTTGGTGATGAAGGAAAACATTCAGGGGGAATGAATGGGTTGATGAGGCTGCAGGGCCTAGACCCGCCCAGGCAGCGGGTTTTCATTGATGAGAACACAGGGAGCCGCCCCAGGGCCGGCTGAGGGCAGGGGTGTGGTGAGACCGGAAGCCTCCCGGGCCCCAGCCCCGGCCCACTCACAGGGGTCTCACTGCTGCTGTAGGCGATCACCTCCAGCACCGAGTTCTTCTCGCAGGTGTCGATGCAGGACAGGTCGTAGAGGGAGGAGTGCACCGGCCCGTAGGCCCACTCGGTGAACTTCCGCGACAGGTGCCTGCACTCCGGCTCCTGGATCTCCCTCTGGAGAATATAGGCCAAGACCTGCCATGGGAGTACAAGTGCCTGTTAGAGACCAGCCTGGTGCCCACCACAGGCTGTGTCCCCACTGGCTACCAGCTCTGCTTCAGGAATAATCCTGCTTCCCAGCCCAGCTGGAGACCCCACCCAAGCACCTACCCGCTTCCAGCAGCCTCCTGCAGCCGCATCAAGTGATCACTCCTGGCTGTTCACATCCATTTTACCCCCGATGCCCGGGTCCCAGCACCCCACCCTCTCCCCGTGTCTTGTTGGTGATACTCAGAGTTAGAAATCAGAAATGGTGCCCTGGCTGGTGTGGCTCCGTTGGTAGGAGCGTCATCCTGTACACTGAAAGGGCATGGGTTTGATTCCAGGCAGGGCACATACCTAGGCTGCAGGTTTGATACCCCGTTGGGGCATGTTTCTCTCTCACATCGATGTTTCTCTCTCTCTCTCTCTCTCTCTCTCTCTCTCTCTCTCTCTCTCTCCCCCTCTGTCTAAAAAATCAATGATAAATGTCCCAAATGAGGATTAAAAAAAAAAGAAAGAAATGGCCACATGTGGACTTGGGTTGGTAAACACACAATACAACATACACATGAGGTATTATAGAATTGTACACCTGAAACCTATATAACTTTATTAGCCAATGTCACCCCCAAAAAATTCAATTTAAAAACATAAATAAAAATAAAGTTCACAAGAGCCAGTAGTTTAAACAAATAAAAGCATCTCTTGTGATAATTAGATTAAATGCTTATGTTTACATTTAGGTTTGCTTCCGTGAGACAGCAAATGAGTCTAAGAATGGAGAACTTTTTTTTTAAACCATTTGCAGTGAGAGAAAGCAAATCAGTAACTGTGTAGAGGGGCGGAGGGCAAAGGGGTAGGAAGACTAACTGCAAAGAGCAAGAGAGAACTACAGTGGGGCCTTGACTTACGAGTTTAATTCGTTCCGAGACCGAGCTCGTTAAGGAGCTCGTTAACTCAAATTACTCTATCAACTCAATGCAAAAAATCGGCTGAGACAGCTGGTATCTCAAAAAACTCGTTAGTCGAGACACTCGTAAGTCAAGGCCCCACTGCACTGGGCAACAGCAGTACTCTGTGTGTTGATTGGGGTGGTGGTTGCAGCTGTATACACATCAAAACTCATCAGACCGAGTACTTTATGTTATTGTTGTTGTTAATCCTCATCCAAGTATATTTTTCTATTGATTTTGAGATAAAGTGGGAGGGAGGGGGAGAGACAGAGAGAGAGAGAAACATCGATGTGAGAGAGACACATCAATCGATTGCCTCCCACACATGCCCTTCAGTCCACAGGCCGAGGCTCTATCCACTGAGCCAAACCAGCTAGGGCCAGACCAAATACTTTAAATGTTTCCATTTGTTTGATGTAAATCACAGCTCAGTAAAGTTGATTTAAAACCATAAAAAAAAAAAAGAAAAAGAAAGAAATGGCCACGTGTGCAATGCTGGGTGCTGCTCGGCTCTCACATTTCCCCTGGCTTACTCTACCCCCACCCTACCGGCTGCTGTGACAGCATCAGGACCGACACTGTGCACGTGTGTGATCACAGGCATGCACAGCGAGGCAGGCAGTCCGCTCCCACAGCACCCCCAGCTCCGTGCGAAGCCCCCTCCCTACCCCAATCTTCCCGCTGCTGGCGGCCAGGGCCAGTGGCGTCAGCCCCTTCTTGTTGGTGAGCTCCTCCAGCTTCAGCGTCGGGTGGAGCTTGGCCCCCAGGATCAGAATCTCGTTGTACATGCTCGTCACGAACTTGGTATTGTCGGCCGTGTTGTCGGCCACTTCCACCAGCGCGTGCAGCACTGTGTTGCCCACCGAGTCCCGGGCACTGATGTCTGCCGGCTGCCAGGAGTTCTGCAGCAGGAACTTCACGATGCCCAGCTGGTTGGTGCATGCAGCCAGGGAGAGGGGCAGCTCGCCTGCAGCCAACACGGGCACACAGTGGGCCTCGGGAATAGACAGCCTGGGCCCTGCACCATCCAGCCTGCCTCTCCCTCTGTCTCCACCCCAAACCCCCCCTCAGCAATCATCACTAAGTCACGGGTCTGCCACCTGGTCTCCCTACCAAAGTAGAAGCCAGGCCGCCCTTTGGTTTTCTTAAAGAAGTCCCCATTGGCCGCAGCCTGGACGTCTGCCCCGTTCTCCACCAGGAGGGTCACCAGCGCCATGTTCCGCCTCTCGATGGCGATGTGCAGCGCTGTCTGGCCTGTGGAGGATTCGTGCTGTTGGCTTTGTGCTCATGTCCTGTAGGGGGTGCCCAGACAGGTGCCAGGGAGGCCTGGGCAGAGAGTGGCAGATGCCCCCCCAGTAGAGGAAGCCAGGCCAGGAGCCCCTGAGGGAGCCCCTGAGGCAGGACTAGAGACCTTCAGGAATGGGGACACCAGACTGGAAGCTGGAAGAGTCACAACTGCCCAAGGATGAGGAACAGCAGCAGAGAAGGAAGCCACCAGGTCCAGAGGTCAGGAGCAGCAGGCCCACCGAGGGGAGGGCGGGACCCTGAGCACCAGGAGGAACCAAGCCAGCAGCTGGGGGGCAGGGACCCCAGGACCAGGAGATGCCGGCTTGGTGGCTGGGACAGGGAGTGAGCTGCTCAGAGGCTTGCTGAGGCTCACCGGTCCCCTCCCGGCCCCAGGAGGGCTGGTGGGAGCTGAGCCGCCCCCGCCCCTCACCCTTGTAGTAGCTGTCTGTGTAGCTGGCGTTGACCAGCTCCGTCAGGCTGTCCGTCTGCCGGGCGATCTCCAGGAGCAGGGGGATGGTGCTGTTGTGCCCGTCGTGCAGGTTGAGCATGGCCTTCAGCAGACAGGTCTTCCCCGTCTCTGGGTCTGCAAGATAAAGTGAGGGTCAGAGCAGGTGGCAGCGGGGGTGCGCCCGGAACCCACCGCCTCCGGGCCCACCTTTGAACTCGCTGTCCATAAGGTGCTTCTTGCTCTTCTGCAGGAAGAGCAGCAGGCTCTCCAGCTCCTCGCAGTTATTCTGGGCGACAGCTTCAAAGATCTTCCTGCGGTCATAGAGCTTGAGCTTCCGCTCGGTGCCAGCTGGGACGGAGTCCTGGGATGACTGCCTGTGGGCCAGAACACACCCTGGTCTCCTACACTGGGCACCCCTGGGGCCTGAGGCTTTCGGAGCTTGTCAGGGAGCAGGACGAAACCCCAAGGCACTCCAAAAGGAGAAGACACATGATATACTAGTAAACCCACCCCGCCATCGAGGTGACTGTCCAGGAAGCGGGTATAACAGGGAACAGGGGGTGCACGAGCCCCCATTCTGTCCCCACCGTGCCTGTAGGCACCAACTACAAGCATGTCAAACTCTGGCCTGTGGCCCACCGGCCGCGAGTGTGACATGCTTGATCTAGAATGTCTTTGCTGCCACCACTTCCTCCAACAGGCAGGCCCCTCGCTTCTCTGCCTGCTCGGGAGCTGGGGCTTAGAAGATAGTGGCCTAGAGGGGCTGGACGCAGGGTGTGGCTGGCTCCAGCTAACTCAAAAATCGTCCTCACGCTGGCCTTGGAGGAGGCCAGAGGGCTAGTGGGCCCCTCGCTGGAGCTGTTTTGTACTCTCTGTCTAAAAGCATATCGTGTCCTTAAGCTTTCTGACTGGAAATCCAGGTGTCTGGGCTAGTGAGCATTCCAGGTCTGGACCCCTGAGATCAGCCGGCAGCTGGGGATCCGCATATATGCCAACACCCCTTGGTGACCACTCAAGGTCCTAGGACAGTGATGGCGAACCTATGGCACGCGTGTCAGAGGTGACACGTGAACTCATTTTTTTGGTTGATTTTTCTTTGTTAAATGGCATTTAAATATATAAAATAAATATCAAAAATATAAGTCTTTGTTTTACTATGGTTGCAAATATCAAAAAAATTTCTATATGTGACACGGCACCAGAGTTAAGTTAGGGTTTTTCAAAATGCTGACACGCCGAGCTCAACAGGTTCGCCATCACTGTCCTAGGAGCACAGATGCTGGAATAGACGACCTCTGAAGGCTCCCAGGCTCCCCAGCTCTATGATGCTCAGCCCATTAACTGGAGCACCTCGTGGTGTCTCCAGGGCTGGGGCCTGAGCCAGCTGAGCCAGTTGGCTCCAGGTGGGGAGGGAGCCAGGCTCCAGGTGCTGCTTACCTGGCACAGGTGGGGCCATCCCCAGTCTTCTGGACGACGACCACAGGACTGACCGTGATGGCCGGGCAGGAGGCTGGCTGCCCTTCCTCGTAAGAGCAGTCCATAGGAGAGGCCTCCTCCGAGTCACACTTCCCAAAGAGCCGGCTGCGGCTCTTGGCCGTGGGGAAGATGCTGGGCTTGGCCGGAGCTGGCCTGGAGTTGGGGTCTCCCTCCAGGGGTTTTGGGTGGGAGTCTTCTTGTGGCAGGTCCTCAGGCTCCCCTGAGTCTGAACTCCCCCATTTCTTCATCCTTGTCCAAGAGGCAGCCTGCGGGCAACCACCAAGATCGGGTTTGTTCCCAGCTCAAGGACTGTAAGACGCTACCCCCTAACAATCCTCCTTGCAAAGGCCCCCGTGAAGCAGGGCATCCCAGCGGTCCAATGCGGCTGCCCTGGGCCCCCAGAATGGAAGCTCTCAGAGGTGCTGTACCCTCCACCCCAGAGACCCAGTAACAGTCCCAGGGGCCCCAGCTTGGAGGCAGCAGGCTCTGAGGGACCGGATGGGTCACTCTGGATGCAGACGATACCACTGCTCTGCATCCCTCCAAGATCAGATAAGGGAAACAAGGGGAGTGGCTGTCTCTGGCTGTGCATTCAGGCCAGAGGGCCAGCTCAACCCCAAAGAGCCGAGCAGTCTTATGGAAACAGGCTGGCTGGCGGACATGTTCACATTCCAGTCGGCACAGGCCCTCCTGCCCCAGGCATCCCATCCTCAGCCACGCCCTCCCTGCCTTGGCTCTTCCACCTGGCTGCTGCAACCATTCGCTTTGTAGAGGGTTTTTGTTTGTTTGTTTTTGTTTTGTTTTGCTTTGATTTGCTTTGGTCGTTTTTGTGACATTATAATAGGCCAAGCATCCTGGCCCTGAACTTTCCTGCCTTGAGGGGCTGGCAGGCCTTCGGGCCTGAGCACCTGGAGCTGAGCTGGCAGTGAGTGCCAGCACGTGGGGCCGTAAATGTGTGTAGATGCTGTTTTTCACTCCCTTCCTAACCTCACCTCCTGCTCTTCCCTCCATCTGGCTGGGCATCCCCACACCCTGGGGCCAGGGCTGCCCACATCTCAATGGCCTTTGCTCCTGCTATGCCTCTCCTTGGGGTGCTTTCTCCTCCTTTTCTTCAGATGCCACCTCCCTTGGGGTCCAGTCTCCTCCACACCCCCTAATCCCTGCACCGGTCATGCTCCTCCCCCTCCAGAGTGACCCAGCTCGTTGGCCATCGGTCCCTGAAGGCCCTCTTCGCACGGTCCCTTCCTAGGGTCTAGGTCTCGAGACATGCATTTTCTTTCTTTTTTCTTTTTTTTTTTTTTACTTGCAGTATGTTGAAGAAGGGGACGAATATGACTACAAACCTTGAAACCACACTTATCCTGATTCAAATCCCACCTCCAGCTCTCACTGTCGAGACATGCATTTTCCAGTGAAATTTCAGGCAGTAAAACCCAGAGCACATGGCGGGGTCCTGCAATAAATCAGCTGTGATCCAATGCCCCGATCCCTGGGGGAGTGAGGCAGTCTCATAGCTCTGTTCCCGTGAACAGGACAGACAGCTGGCTGCCGGCCCATTTCCCCTCCTGCCTGTTATTCTACTTCCCGGAGGACCAGAGTCTTTCTCTGATTCATCCATCAGGTGGAAACCTTGCAGCAGGAAGTGCTCCTGGCCACAGGAAGCCCCACTTGCAACCACTCACACACTCATTCAGCCATCACTCAACACCCACCTACTGAGTCCTGCTGAGTGCCTGGCCCTGTGCTGGGGAAACCCAGAGGACTCAGACCCCACCTGAGACAGAAACCAGGTGTGGCTCAGGTGTGGGGATGGCCAGAGGGCCCAGGGTGCTGAAGAAGGCTGCATGGAGGAGGTGGCCGATGAGCTGGGCCTGGAGGGGAATAGGGTTGGGCTAAGCCTGGGGGAGAGAGAGGGGACCCCTGGAGAAGCCAATGAAGAGAAAGCCAGTGGGACTGGAGGATCGGCAGCGAGGTCAGAACCAGATGACTGTTGGCCTTGAATGCCAAGGCCACAGCATGTGGGTGTTATTGTGTGGATGGTAGGAAGCCATGAAAAGCTCCAGAAGGCTGACCCTGGTCACTAGTCTGTGCTTCCAGAAGATAACTTCCTGTCAAAGACAGTTCACTGTACAGGGAGCCTGTCACCATTTAATAGGCACAGGAGGCTCTGGCCAGTGTGGCTCAGTTGGTGGGGCTCAGATCATGTTTCGCTCTCACATGGATGTTTCTCTCCCTCTCCCTCTCCTTTTCTCTCTCTCTAAAAATCAATTAAAAAAACCTTTTGTTGTTGTTGTTGTTACTCTTCATCTGAAGATATTTTCCCTTTTTTTTTCTTTTTTAGAGAAAGTGGGAGGGAGGGAGGGAGGAAGGGAGAGCGAGAGAGAGATTGAGAGAAACATCCATGTGAGAGAGACACATCGACTGGTTGTCTCCTGCACATGCCCAGACTGGAGCTGAGGATCAAACCTGCTACTCAGTTATGTGCCCTTGTCTGAGAATCAAACCTGAAACCCTTTGGTGTGCGGGCCAACGCTCTAACCACTGAGACAACGGCCAGGGCAACAAAAATATATATTTTTATAAAAATAACAGGCACGGGTGACTAGAAAGAATGAAAATAACTGATGTGCTTGAGCACATGCTGTGCAAAGGTGAGCACTGTTCTAACCCTGCACAGGCCTCACTCACTTCATTCTCACAGCTCTAGGAGGTAATGGTTACATCACTTGTTCGAGGTCACACAGTAAGAAACAGACCTGCATTGGCTCCCAGGCAGCCTGGCTCCAGAGCATCTCCAGCTCTCCACCAGCTCTCGGGAAGGTTTGGGGTTCCTTCTCAGCCAGGAAACTCAGCCCCAGACCTCACACCAGAGCCTGGGGGCCAATCAGACCCCCAGCGCTGGGGCCAGGCGGCTGGGGACAATGCCTTTCCACTCCGAAGCCCCAAACCTGCGCCACCCTCTTGCTCAAACAAGTGTCCCAGGAAGTTCAAAACCCAAACGAAGTATAAATAACACCCAGGCCCTACGCCAGGACTGGCTCTCCCAGGAATGTCTCCCTTTGAATAAGGCTGGTCACAAAACCAAGAATAAGCCTGCTGCCTGGCTAGCAGCTCTTAACAGGCCAACAAGAGAGCACCTACCAACATTCTGGCAATGATCCTTCTTAGCAGTTTCCCCTCTTCCTCTGATCAACCCAAATCTAACCCGACCCAGTAAATATGAAGCAACCCACACAGTCCCTCATTCAGTCCGTCAACAAACCCTGGATCTGTTCTGCACGCCCTGCACCTGGTTCCCTGCAAAAACCAAGCTTCTCCCAGAGGAGAGAGCAGGGTAGGGACTGAGGGGCCATCTGCTCTGGGCGGGGAGGTGGACAGGGACAGGATAGTCTGTCACTGCCAGGCCTGGGATGCGTCCAGCAGGTGAGCCCATTGGCAACCCCCTGTCACTGTCAAACCTTCTACAGTGATGGGGGCATTCCAACAGCGACTGAAGGAGATGGTTGTTCTGCTTTATACAAGATTCACAAACTCACCATTTGAACTAAAGGCCAGTCCCGACAGAAGTACCCTGCCTGGCAAAGACTGGAAGGACAATGCCCAGCCCCTGGGAGAAGCCTCCGTGCTTCTCTCCCCAATCCAAGTGAGCCGTCCTAGGGCGTGGCTCTCCCACTGCCCCCCGCTCCCTGCAGGCCCTGGTCATTCTTGTCCCCCCGGCCTCCTAAAGAGAGATGGAGAGCTGGGCGCTTCACAACCCACGGACGAAGAGCCAGAGGGACTCTGCCAAATCCCGAAAGAGAGAATGGAGCCGGGACAAGAACCCAGGGCCCCTGCCCGCCTTCACTCCAGAGAGAGCAACCCCTGAAACCTCCAGCCACAAACCGCTGGCCCTGGCAGCGGCCGCGGGCTCTTGGCCCAGATGACTCTGGTGCAAACACAGCCTGTGGGTAACAGCGACCTCCGCTATCACTTACCAAGCGCCTGCGATTAGCCAGGCTGAGTGCACCGCAGCTCCAGCTTCCCTTACGCCTCAAGCCGCCTTTGAGGCAGACACTGTTATGCTCCCAGTTTTCAGATGCGATCACTGAGGCGCTGAGAGGCTAGCGGAACTGCCCATAGTCACACAGCCGGCAAAGGGCAGGGCCCAGCTCTGGGCAGCTCGCGATGCCATTCCACAGCCAACAGCTGCGTTGGCCACCAAATAACAGAAGGGGACTCACCAGCTAGACGCAGGCACACCCCCTAACAGCGGGGCGCGATGAGCTCCGGCTGCTGCTACTTGAAGGGAGAGTTGGGTGGTGTGGGGAGAGCTGCCTCCCCTGCCTCCGAGGGTCCCGGGCCCCTCCGTGGGCCGCGCTGCTCCGCGCTGGCAGGGATGGGCTGTGGGCGCGCTCTGGCACTCAAGGAAAAACGTTTCCAGCGATGGTAGCAGCTGCTGTTGCCGCAGCTCTGATTCCCAGAGGATCCCAAAGCCTTTCCCATCATTTTTGCCCTTTTTCAGAAACCACTTAGCCGCTGCCCCTCCTCCCACCAGGCTAGGGCTGCAGTGCACTTAGCCACACGCAGCCCAGACCAGCCAGAGCTGTGACCTCAGCTCTCAGGGAAGGAGGGCGCTGCTCAGGCCTCCCAAACCCACCACTCCACAGGCAGGGGGTCCTGAAGAAACAGCTCAACAAGGCGGTGTCCCAGCCCATCTGTAAGGCCAGGTGACAGGTGAGACCGATGGAAGCTGAGATTCAGTCATTCAAAGCTCACCTCCTTCAAATAGCCTCCCGTCACCCCCCACGGACCTGGCCTGAAATGCTCACCTCCCCACTCCTGCAGAAACCTCAACTGTGCCTTCCCGTGGCCATTGGTGCCTGCGATCCCAGTGACAACAATAACAGCAGTGAGCTCTCCCCGGGCCCGTGCAGTGTGCGGGTTCTGGGGTAGCACTTCATCTGCGCCATCTCATCGCCCTCACAGAGTTTCATGAGAGTGAGTAGGATTCTGCCCCCATTTTGCCCCAAGGACAGTGGGAAGCGTACCGGTCTCGTCTGGAGCTTCCTAAAGCTTGCATTGCGATCTTATTTCTCTGATGTTCCTATCTTGCTTCACAGATTTTAATGGCTCCGACCTTCCATTTCCCTTCTCGAAGCCTCGTCCCGTGCCTTGCCAAGGAGCATGCTGACCTGCTCTGAGTGGCACTGACACCGAGCGGCGGTTCTGCTAAAACTCATGAGATGGTGGTGGGGACAAGACCACAGGGCTGGGCCTCGCCGCCATCCGTGCGGTTTTCTGGATCATGATTTGAACAGGGTGTTCTTGAGTTTCTGTAATGATGTACCCATTAAAATTCCTTGTAAATAGATCATGTTTTAATAATGACTTCCAGTAGGGGGTGCTTCGCCAAGCTCGTGTGTGAAAGGGACAAGAAGCAGTGCAGGTGGGTGGGCCAAGTCTTTTTTTTATTTATAACTTTTTTAAATTGATTTTAGAGAAGCAGGAAGGGAGAGAAGAAGGAGACAGAGAGAGACAGAAGAGAGAGAGAGAGAGAGAGAGAGAGAGAGAGAGAGAGAGAGAGAAGAGAGAGAGAGAAGTTTCCTCCCGTTCACACTCCGGGCGGGTATCAAACCCACAACCCAGGTATGTGTCCTGACCGAAATCGAACCCATGACCTCCCAGTGCACGGGACAACACTCCAACGAACTGAGCCACACCGGCCAGGGCAGGGTGGGCCAAGTCTTATGTGGCCTCCGTTAAAACTGCTAATATCGTGAAGGGCCAGTTCTCCCACTTCGTGTACCACCAGGGGGCACATTGACTTGCACTGAGCTCTCAACCTGGCAATAGGAGCCTAATTCATTTTCTTCATCTACCCGGGCTCCTCACAGATTTGAAGCCAGACTTTCTGGCACAGTTAGCAACCTGCAAACTCCCATGTGCAGGAAAAGCCTGATTACCACAGCCGGGAACCGTCAGCCTGGCACCTCCAGGAGGGCAGGACCCGGGCGCTGCCAGCCCCAGCCCCAGGGAGAGTAATTAAGGCACCACTGGCAGGTCCCTGTCACCCACCCAAGGGCAGTGACAACTCTGCTAGTCTGGTCTTGAGCTTTCTAAACCTTGTTTTAACTTCCTGACTTCTGTGTCTTGCCTCCCAGATTTGGAATGGCCTCCGGGGTCCCAGGTCCAGATGACAAACTACAACCCTGAAAGCAACTTACTTTCCTTTCTGCACTTGGCCTGTGCAGGAGTGTCACCAGGTGTCACTGAGTCTGAAAGACCAGCTCCCGCGATGGGCAGGGCTCTACGGAGGGCTCAGCACGCTCCGAAAGTGGGTAGAGGCTCGCGGCTGTGCTGGGGGCAGGCATCCGCTCAGCACCTGACTCTGCACCTGACAGCCGAGCCTGCTCTGCAGAGCTGGGACCCAGGGCAGGGACTGGAGCAAGAGCGAGGAGCCGCTGCACGGTCAAGGTTGTGGGCAAGGAATGGAAGCCGGGAGAAAAGGCCGGCCCGGCCAGACGCTGGTTGCATGAACCTGGGCGGCGGTTGAAGCTCTGGGCCTGCTCCTTAATCCACACCAACGGGAGAGTCCCTGCCCTGCCCGCTTTGCGGGGCTTTGCTGGGGATTAACGAGGACACGGGGTGTGAACCGGCTCTGAGCGGCAGAGCTCCAGGCAGGCACGGGGGTTGCTCTCATCATTATTTCAGCATGAGAACCACATCTGCTGGCTGCGGAGCTTATCCGGCCATTAGCTTGAGGTTGGGACTAATTGTTTTTTAATTTTAAAAAATTTGCTTAATGTTTTCTGAGTCACCCAGGGAGCATCTCCATAGCACGAATATCTCACTTTCGGATTAGCCTGTCTGTAACTATGGCTGCAGTGCCACCGGCCCTCTTTCCTGCGGGCCTACTGTGCACGTGGCGAGCACATGGTAGTGAGTGGGGTGAATGAGATGGTCTCTGCCTTTAAGGAGGCCAGGACGGGTGAGAAAGGCGGGTGATGCTTACAGAACGGGGCTCCCTGAAACAGGGACAAGCCAGGGGCCCGCAGGATGCCAGCGGCCACTGTGATGCAGCGGCAAATGTGCTGCCAGGGAGACTGCAGCAGGCGATGGCGTTGAGCTGGGCCTCGGGCGGGGCAGGGTCCTGCCCTGTGAGGAGAACATTCCAAAGATGGGCCCCAGCCCAGGTTAATGTAGGAAGAGGACAGGGCAGAGAACCCCTAACAGGGACCCTGCCCTCATGGAGCTTTTCAGTCCACTTGAGAAGAAAGTGGAGAACATGAAAGCCACATAAACATGATGTGGGTATAGCAGTTCCCAGGGAAGGCTGTGTGCGGCAGAGGGCAGGGGAGTGAGCGGTACTCCGCACCCTGCAGAGGCTCCAGCCACGAGCAATAGAAATAGCAGCACGACTGTTCTCGGACAAGCCTGGGCCACGGGAAGCTCAGCCCTCAGGGGTGGAGTGGGAAGCGGCCACACTGGACGTTGGGCTGGGCTGCCTGGGCTTGCAGGACACCATCCGCTCCCAATCTTATATTTACAGGCTCCATCCACAGCCCCCTGGCAATGCAAGTCACAGGCCAGCTCCCCTGACCGACAGGGCTGTCAGCTGTCCTTCAGCTTCTCCTGGGGGGCCTTCTCCCCCAGGGGCTCCAAGATGACCTCACTCTGGCTGAGAGAAAAATTATACAACTTTCCTGAGTTATCCGTCTCCCCAAAGCAGAGAGGTGTTTTCATTCAAGCGACAACGACAAGGCTCGAGAAGAATGAGTTTTAGTATCTGAAGTTCAATCAGCACAGCCAGGCAGAGGCACCTAAGAGCGTCAGACAATCACAATTCACAAAGTGACATTTACAAACAGACAGCAGGACTGCTTCCCCAACACACAGCTGCCTGGGTGCCTCGGCGTCTGCCCGAGGCTGGGATGGCCCTGGGGAGTCTGGAAGCAGACACAGCGATGGTGGCCTTCTCCTGGGAGCCACGCCATGGTCATCCCCGCTGACCACAGGGAAGGTTCAAGATGCTCCGGGGTCCCTGCAAGGCTCTGTGCCGACTCCAGTGGGATGTTTCTGCGAGCCAGGCCCACGCCAACAGGAAGAAGAGCTGGGGCCTCGGGGATAAGGGGTCCTCTCTGATTAAATTGGCCATCTGTCTGGGGGGAGCATGCCTGGGTGCCTCAGAGTCTGCCTGAAGGCTTCCAAGGTTGTGCAGAGGCAAAAACACATTGCTGCTCAGACCCACTCCCGGAAAAGGGTCCTGTGGGGGCCTGGTCAGTCTCACGGGAACAATGTGAGTGGTGGGGCCACACAGCACCCACCCCCTGCTGGCCATGCTGCCCGACTCTCCTTCCCTATTCCCTGCCCTCAGGCCAGCTGTGTTGTGAGGATCTGGGGCCACCCCAGCACAGCATCCTCTCCTTGGGGGGAGTCCATAGCAAGAAGGCAGGCACAGACCCCTGCATCTTCACCTCAGCCCGCCTACCCCACACAACCAGCTGTGGCCAGGGGAGACTGAGACTGGAAAGGGCTCATGTGGTCCAGTCCAGGGGGAAGGACTTTTCTGACAGTAATGTGACCCGCATCAGAGCTGCCTATCCCTGGAAACAACCAATCCATAAGCTGGCGGTGGGGTGGAGGGCGGGTCTTCTCTTCGGACTCGGAGCCACAGCCACCAGGCGTTTTTGGTGTCTGAAGTCCACATTTATTTTCTCTTTGTCTACAAGTGAATCACAGGTGAGCCTGCTGACCGTGATGCTGGGTTACTTTTCTCTTTTCCTTTTTTCCACATTGACATTGGCAGCCAGCTCCCAGGTGAGTCTCTGTCAGAGGCACTGACTGGGGACCTGGTGGCTGACTTCTGGCTGCATTAGTAGAGTGTGCCCTGGAGGAAAGTTCTTGGTCAGGATGGTGGCCTGAGAACAAACATTGTTTAAAAGCTGCCCACAGAGCTGTCCAGGGAAAGGATGACTCCAGGATCACATCAGGAATGTTAATTAGATAAAATCGGCAACAGTGCTTTGGCCAAAGAGTGTGCGCACTAAGACTCCTCCTGGTGGAGGTTTCTCTGGAGCATGACCAGTGCTGCCCCCACGGCTGCGTCCACATCCTGCCCAAAGGACACTGGGAAAGGGAAAGCCCGCTGCACCTCCTGCTTCAGCACCTCGTTCCTGGACAGCGCACTCCCACTGCTGACCACCCGCTCCACGCCCCACTCCCTGAGCTGCTGGGACGGAAGCATCGAGTGCAGGTTCTGAACGATGCCTCGGCACAGCGCCCGCGTCACGTGCCCCAGCGAGAGGGCCTCGGAGGAGATCCTGGTCACGGAGGCCAGCTGGTCTGGCAGATGCCTCTCGCCCAACACTGTTGGCGTGATGGTGAGGCAGGTGTCTCTCTGCTCTGCAGCTGCCTGGATCATGCGTGAATACACAGTGGATTCTTCGACCTCCACGCCTGCCAGGAACAGAGAAGACCGTGTGAGCTCATGCACCCCTCGCTGCAGGATGAGACAGTACAGCATTCCCTGGGCAGGAGAGGTCTACTAACTGCTTCTTCTCAGTGTGGCTGGCTGCTTCCTGCTCAGGGACTCGCATAACCTGACTAGTCATGCTCTGCCCCAGATCTCAGCCAGCTCTCTCACTGCAGACCCAGCCCAGACTTCAGGGAGAGGTCATATAAAGGTTGTTATTCAAGCCCTAACCAGCTATTGGTCCCAAGGGGCCATCATGCACGTACTGATCAATAAGTACCATCACAGCTCCACCGGACTTATTAGCAGAGTCACAGAATCCCAGGATCACAGGGCTGAGCATGGTCTAGCCATCCCCTGCAGAAGTGAAGAACCACCAGTCTAGACCGATGCTTCTCACATTTGACTATGCATAGGAATCATGTAGGGATCTTATTAAAATTACAATGTCCAGATAAGGGAAGTAAACCTAGAGTAAAATCATCAGCACATTTAACTTATACAAACTCCACTATAGCCTAGCTGGTTTGGCTGAGTGGATAAAAGCATCGGCCTGCAAACTGAAGGGTCCCGGGTTCGATTCCGGTCAAGGACACATGTCTGGGTTGCAGGCTCGATCTCCAGTAGGGGACACCCAAGAGGCTGCCAATCAATGACTCTCTCTCGTCTTTGACGTTTCTATCTCTCTCTCCCTTTTCCTTCCTCTCTGAAATCAAAAATATTTTTAAAAAAAACTATATTGTACATGTTTAGGAACTAGAGAGAGAGAGATCCTTTTAAAAAAGTCTTTTTGCATTTTCATGGTTCTTATTCTGAGGAAACAAAGAGTGTTTTGAAGGTTCGTGGATTCCATGTAACTTAACCTTTTATGAAAATTTTACAATTATGTCATTTTATTGAAAAACATATAAATGCAAATACAATCACATGTATTAAATAAAAGACACATTTATTAACCAGAAATGTAAATATTACAGCATAAAGTACAAAAATAAAACTCTTGCTGTATTCAGAATACCTTGAATTTGCACAGTCAAAATTTGATCAGCAGGACTCTGGTTAAGCTCTGCTGAATGAGTATGTGTCTTTCCTCTAGAAATTCTACTAAAATGTCAGAAAACTCACATACTTGGTGGGTAACCTATTACAGGTGTCCAAGCATGTACATCTGTAGGGCTGAGTCCTTGGAGGGGAACTACTAGGTCCAAAGATATGCACATGACACTCCCTCCTTAGAAGCTGTACCAATTTACACAGCACAGCAACACATAAGAGTGAGTCTCTCCATGTCTTAGCAAACAGAGTGTGCTGGAAACTTCTAGAAGCACAGATATAAATGTAAAGCCATCAACTAATGGGGGAAAAGGGAAAGGAGATAAAGAAAAACAGACCAATCAAGTAGAAGACAGAGAGACTAAGGAGATGTGATGACTAAATGCAATGTGTATCCTGGATTGAGTCCTGGAACAGGAAAAGGGCATTCGTAGAAAAATCACTGAAACACAAATAACATCTACAGTTTAAAAATAATAATGTGTATTTCTTTAATAAGAACTCAAAAAAATGTTTTTATTGCTATCTTTGTCGCAATAACACATTCTCAAAACTTCTTTTGAAGCCTCACCTGAACATATGTTTATTGATTCTAGAGAGAGAGGAAGGGAGAGGAGGGGGGTGGGAGAAAAACACCCAGAAACATTGACCAGTTGTCCCCCATACACGCCCTAAACCCACAACCTGGGTATGTGCCCTGACCAGCAATGGACCCCTCGACCTTTCAGTTTATGGGACGACAGACACTCCAACCAACTGAGCCCCACCAGCCAGGGCCGTTACAGTGTTATTCCTCACTGGGAAATACCCAGGCCCCGCGCAGGCCTGGTGGAGCCTGCAGGAAGGTGTTCACAGCTGGAGGCCTGGGAGATCTGGCTTCTAGCCCGTTTCTGTGTGCCTTGGCTCACCGCCTCATCCGAATCTACTGGTGAGATTAACTGCTGTGAGTTACCAAATGTCCACACCACGGGCTTAGAATCATCGAACATCGGAGCTGGGAAGACAGAGAAGGGAAGGGACGTCCAAGGCCACACAGTGACCTGGAGACAGAGCAGGGAACCGAGGTCACGCCCCTGGGTTGAACCCGCCACACAAACCTTATTTAATAAGTGTCATATCACACTCACTACCACTACGGGCCAGACGCTGTTCTAAGTGTTCACAATATTGACTCCCCGAATCCTCACAGTCCTAGGATGACCCCCATTTTCAGATAAAGGAGGTAAAGCACAGAGGAGGTAAGTAACCTTCCCAAAGGCACGCAGGAGGAGGCAGAGCTGAGATTCAAACCCAGGCCACCAGCCCCAGGGTCCTGCTCTAAACTACCACCTGAGTGTAGAACCCTAGATTCTAACCTCGGGAACAAAATGCAAATTCAGGGTATTCTGAATACAGCAAGAGTTTTAGTTTTGTACCTTATGCTATAACATTTCCATTTCTGGTTAATAAATGTGTCTTTTATCTAAGTACATGTGATTGCATTTGCATTTATATGTTTTTTAATAAAATGACATAATTGTAACATTTTCATAAAAGGTTAAGTTACATGGAATACATGAACCTTCAAAACACTCGTTGCTTTCTCAAAATAAGAACCAAGAAAAGGCAAAAAGACTTTTTTAAAGGATCTTACAGGGAAAGTGAATATTCCCAAGTCTTTCAGGGGCAAGGAGAAGTGTCACTTCTGTAGAAAGAGAAACACTGGCCAAGTCAGTAAACAGCTGAGAGACCCAATCCAGTTAAACCAGTGCCTAGATAAAGGGCTGGCTGGACGGTTCTCAGAACTGGTTCTGCATCTTGAAAACCTCCCCTGGTGCAGGTAAAACAAAATCCGAGTCCTGTCATTTAAATGAAGCCAACCTGAGGAGACCCCGGCCAAGGGGCCAGAGCTCCCCCCAACCCCGACCTCCCTGAGACCCATGGGAGTCAGCAGCACTGTCTGGTGACTGAAGGTCAAAGCCTCGCTGCTCCCTGCTGCCTGGCCTCCCCCTGTGACCGTGGTCGATGCCTGATTCTGGGAATGGCCTGATTTTGAGCTCCTAGTGGTAACCAGTGAGTCTGAGCAACATGATTTCCCTAGACTGGAAATTTCATTTCTACCTTAAGTGGTTGGAGAGGTTTCATGTTTCCCTGTGAGTGCAGAGCAGAGGAAAAGCCGAACCGACTCTACCCTGAAAACTGGAGACGAGAACAGGAGGACCCCAGAGTCTCCAGGGACCCTCCTGAGACAGGGACTTGGGAGCTACTGGCCAGGATTAAGTGCTGTGAGGATCCTATCTAATAATAGACAAACATGGTAATTGACCATACCTTCGCTACGCCTCCCATTGGCTAATCAGCGCTATATGCAAATTAACCGCCAACAAAGATGGTGGTTAATTTGCATACGTAGGCTCCAAGCGGTGGAGCAAAGCCTGACGTTTCAGGGGCCGGCTCTGGCCAGAACTCGGCCAGAGCAAAGGCCTGGGCCCCAGGTGCCAGAGGCAAACCGGTGCCAGCAGCCAGGGGAAAGGAAGGCCTATTGCACGCATCTCTTTGTGCAACAGGCCTCTAGTTTTATAATATTGTAAAATACCAGATTTTTCACTCGTCCGTGTTTGATCCTTTTATTTTCAACTATCTATAGTCATCAGAAGGAAAACCCCAACTGCAAGGGACCCAGGGGCTCACTGACAAAGAAAGTAAGACAGCAGGGCAGGGGAGAACTGGGAGACTATCTGACACTCCACAGTCAAGGTCAGGAGAGAGTAGGGGGTGGCAGCTCAGGAGATGAGAGGAAAGCTAGAGGCTGAGATTCCTAAGGAAGGAAGAGAAGTTCTGGGTCTGCCTGGGTCTGAGATGTGGATCTAGAAGCTTCCACAGCACGTTCACTGGCATGAGGGAAGGACAAGCAGAGAGGCAGCGCTGCGTGGGCCACATCTTACCGAGATCCGCCATCCACTGGACCAGCATCTGGACGAACGTGGCGAGCACATTGCCCCCATTGAGGGAGGCTGCCACCGCCAGGTAGGTTCTGTCGAAGTACGGGAAGTAGGCGACCGGAGCTGCAGGGTCTGGAGTCTGCGCTGGCTGGAACCCCACCGGCATGGAGGCTGCCAACTGAACCGAAGTGCTGATGTTGAGAACTGGGGCCCAAGAAAAGCAAAGGTTAGGTCTGTCCGGCTAACTTGGAGGTCACAGTCACAACCAGGCAGGGCAGAGTGTGCTGGTTTGAAAAACACATCCAGCCCAGCCAGCGTGGCTCAGCAGTTGAGCATCGACCTATGAACCAGGAGGTCACGGTTAGATTCCTGGTCAGGACATATGCCCGGGTTGCAGGCTCGATCCCTAATAGGGGCCGTGCAGGAGGCAGCCAACCAATGATTCTTTCTCATCATTGCTGTTTCTATCTCTTTCTCCCTCTCCCTTCCTCTCTGAAATCAATAAAAAAATATATTTTTTTAAAGGTCCAAAATTCTTTGATACTATTTCTTTCCTTCAGGAGGTAGAGCCTAAATGCCCTCCCCCTGAGTGTGGGCTGGACTCAGTGACTTGCTTCTAGTGGGAGAATAAAGCAGAAGTGACAGTGTGTGACTATGGAAAAAAGTCACAAAAAGCAAGGCAGCTTCTGCCTCAGATGGCTCACTCCGGGAGGAGCAGGCAGTACTGTGAGCGGTGCTGTGGGGAGGCCCATGCAGCAAGGAGCTGAGCCCCCTGCTAACAGCCACCTGAGGGAGCTGAGAAGGGGACCCTCCAGCCCGGTCAAGCCTTCAGATGAGGGTGGTCCCAGGCCACCAACAGCTTAACTGCAATGTCACGAGGAAGCCTGAGCCAGACGCTCAAGCCACACCCACACTCCTGACTCTCAGGAACCATTTCATCTGTTTTAAACACAGATGTTTACAAAATAATTTCAAACGCAGGTACACACACGCACACGTGTGCGCACACACACACACACACACGTAAAAGAACATGTGTGAGATACGAAACGTTTGGTGTTTTTAGGCTACAAAACGCCATGGGGTGATTTGCTACACAGCAGTAGACAACTATTTAGAGAGTAAGACTTCAGCCGAAACGTGTTATTCTCTGCGGAGGTCTCGTTCATGTTCAGCCAGTTCTCCTTCCTCTCATTTCCAAGGCGTTTTTCTTAACCTCCCCACGAGCAGGGGAAATGCCCAGACCCAGCACAGAGGGGCCGACTTCCTCCTCTAGCTCAAGGCCAGGCCTGCAGATGCTCCAGGAGTCTCTTCTCCATTTCTCATAAGACCTGACCAAAAGGCCTGTTCTTCTTCATCTGCTGGGGGCCAGACTAACTGAGGCAGCATCCCACGTTCCCCCGCACTGGGGGGTCAGAAGCGAGAGCAAAAACAAACCTCAGAAAGCCAGTAACGCCTACTTCCCGCCACATCAAGCCTCCCACCATCACCACAAGCCAGAAGCAACGTGCCCTCCGCCTGTCCCCTCTGGTGGCCGTGTCAACAATGGGGCCCAACTTTGCCCGTGAATATGCCACAGCTGAGCACAGGCTAGCAGCCCATCTGGAGCCAGAGACTGCAACCTGCTCAGTGAAGGCGGAGCCCAAACCTCACCTTCTTCCCATCGACAAGCCCCCTCACTCACCACACAGCAAGCTCGCCGGCATCCACACCTCTGTGGAGGGAACAGCCTGATATTTGAAAACCACCAGGTGGGAGGAAAGAACCAGGCCTTTACGGGCACCACCCCAATGCCTCACAACTGCCCGGGAGGAAGGCACCGACACCCTCACCAGGGGTGATGACAAGGAACCAGGAAGAAAAGCGGCCTGCCCAGGTCACCCAGAGCGGCTAACATTCTGGACTCCAAAGCCCACTGCGTTCCCTGCCGTCCACGCTTTGAGATGGAGGGATATACGGAGAGAGATGGTGTACTGGGAAAAATTAAGTCACAGAATAAACTCAGCATGCTTTCCTGGGGCATTGAATTTAGTTGAAAATTGGGGAGAAAAAGGTGTTTGAACTTTTTTACCTTAAGTGATTTTTATCACAAACAAAATGGACAGAATTTCACCTTTCCTGCTCAGCTAATCTTGAATTAATAGGAATTACTACCAAAACCAGTCACTTGAAATTATTTCTTAAAAATGTAATGAAAAGGGGAATAAACTACTACACAGAGGCTAGTGCCGGTCAGAATTTTAAAACTCAGAGTTGAACTGTAATAGTTCTAACTGATGGAGGGAATAAAAGATGTGAGGACAAAGAGAACCTGGGTAAGATGAAGGCATTCTCTGTCCCCCTTGATAACCAGGAGGGGCTCCCAACCAGGACTAGCTCAGCCAGGCTACCCCCAGGATCAATGGAAACACTCATCCTGCAACCACCCTGCTCAGCAGGCAGCCCCAAGTCCCACCCTAGCCCAGGGTAGACACCAGCTGTTTTGGTATGGCCCAGGAGATAAAAACAGCTTTTAATTTTTGTGTGTGAGAGTAACTTTATTGATATGTAACTCACATAAATTTGCCATAAAATATACCCCTGTAAAGCACACAATCCAGGGGTTTTTAGAATACTCACAGAGTTGTACAACCATCACCACAATCTAATTTTAGAACATTTTCATCACTCCAAAAAGAAACCCCATACCAGTCAGCAATCAGCCCTGGCAACTATTAACTCCTTCCTGTCCCTATGGATTTGTCTACCCTGGATATTTCACAGGCATGGAATCATAAGATGGGTGGCCTTCTGTGATGAGCTTCTTTCTTTCTTTCACTTTCACGCACATGTTGTGGCATTTTAGCTGTGTGGATGGACCACATTTTTTAAATCCCTTCATCAGTTGATGGGCATTTGGGTCGTTTCTCCTTTTTGCCTAGTATGAATAACACTGCTAATGACATTCATGTACAAGTTTTAGACTGTTTTTCCAAAGGGGCTGCACTATTTTACAATCCCAGAAGCATGTTCTTACATTTTCAAATGGTTGAAAAGAAATCAAAGGAAGATTTCATGACATATGAAAATTATATGAAGAGAAACCAAGATGGCGGCATAGGTAAACACCGGAAATTGCTGCCTCGCACAACCACTTCAAAAATACAACTAAAAGACAAAATGGACATCATCCAGAACCACAGGAAGGCTGGCTGAGTGGAAATTCTACAACTAAAAGGAAAGAGAAAAGAACACTGAGACTCAGAGGAGGTGCGGTGTGGAAGTAAAGTGCAGAGGTACGGAGGCACACGTGGAAAGGGCTGGCAACTGAGGACACGGTTGTCTTTTTCAATCGGGAGGGAGTCTCAAGCTCCCGACTGCTCTGAACTCCAGTTCCGGGCGAGTCTCTGGGGACCCAGACTCACACAGGGAGAAACTGGACTGTCTGGCATCGGTTGGAAGTCGAGGGCGGCTTTCTCTCAGAGGTGCTTGCAGTGATTACCGGGACACTGAGACCCAGGGCCTCTTAGGGTAGGACTGAGGATCAGCCATAGCTGTTTGCTCTGCTCTGTTGAACCCTGAGACCCCGCCCCACCCAAGCTGTGCTCAGAGGCTTTTGCATATGAAAGGCCTGGCCCTTTGCAATCTAAAATTACCTAACAAATTGCAGCTGGGTCAGAGAGACCCAGAACTTCCAAAAGAAGGCCCAAGGCCCCATAGCAACTTGCGTTGCTTCACAGCTGGGCCTCATCTGGGCACCTCCAAACCCCAAACAAAGAAGAGGAATCTGCAGATCTCTCCATAGCTCCTGCTGGGTAGCCTCAGGCAGAGGCTAAATTAGCACCTCCTTAGAGATCCAAGAGCCCGTGTACCCAGTGGTCAGACTGGGACCATCCAGATTACAACTCCTCAGATCCATAAAGGACACACTCAGGGGGCAGACTCAGTGAGCACCAAAGCCCCACTGAATCAAGTCTTGCCCCAGAAGGGTGTCTCCAGCACAGAAGCTCTCCCACTGTAGACACAGCTGATTCTCACAGCCAATTGGCCTGGAGGTCAATTCCTCCCAGTGATACCTACAACAATCAAAGCTTAACTACAACAAGACTGTACACAAAGCCCACAAAGGGGAGCACCAAGAGTGTCCACCTCAGGTAATTGGGGAGGCTGAACCACTGGGCCCTATAGGACACCTAGCACAGAAAGCCACTCTATCAACACAGGGAAGCATAAAAAATGCGGAGACAAAGAAACAGGTCACAAATGACAGAAATGGAGGAAAGCAAACTACTGGATATAGAGTTCAAAACCACACTTACAAGGTTTTTCAAGAATTTTCTAGAAACCGCCGATAAATTTAGTGAGACCCTCAAGAAATCTAGTGAGACCCTCGAGGATATGAAAAAGGACCAACTAGAAATTAACATACACTGACTGAAATAAAGAATATTATACAGAGTTCCAACAGCAGACTAGAGGATCGCAAGAATCAAGTCAAAGATTTGAAATACGAAGAAGCAAAAAACACCCAACCAGAAAAACAAAAAGAAAAAAGAATCCAAAAATATGAAGATAGTGTAAGGAGCTTCTGGGACAACTTCAAGCGTACCAACATCCGAATTATGGGGGTGCCAGAAGAAGAGAGAGAGCAAGATATTGAAAACCTATTTGAAGAAATAATGACAGAAAACTTCTCCTACCTGGTGAAAGAAATAGACTTCCAAGTCCAGGAAACGCAAAGAATCCCAAATAAAGGAATCCAAAGAGGACCACACCAAGACACATCATAATTAAAATGCCAAGAGCAAAAGACAAAGAGAGAATCTTAAAAGCAGCAACAGAAAAAAAGTCAGTTACCTACAAGGGAGTACCCATACGACTGTCAGCTGATTTCTCAACAGAAACTATGCAGGCCAGAAGGGAGTGGCAAGAAATATTCAAAGTGATGAATAGCAAGAACCTACAACCAAGATTACTTTACCCAGCAAAGCTATCATTCAGAATTGAAGGTCAGATAAAGAGCTTCACAGATAAGAAAAAGCTAAAGGAGTTCATCACCACTAAACCAGTATTATATGAAATGCTGAAAGGTATCCTTTAAGAAGAGGAAGAAGAAGAAAAAGGTAAAGATACAAATTATGAACAACAAATACACATCTATCAACAAGTGAATCTAAAAATCAAGTGAATAAATAATCTGATGAACAGAATAAATTGGTGAATATAATAGAATCAGGGGCATAGAAAGGGAGTGGACTGACTATTCTCGGCGGGGGGCAAAGGGGTGTGGGGGTGCGGGAAGAGACTGAACAAAAATCGTACACCTATGGATGAGGACAGTTGGGGGGGGGGTAAGGACAGAGGGTGGGGTGGGAACCGGGTGGAGGGGAGCTATGGGGGGAAAAAGAGGAACAAGTGTAATAATCTGAATAAAGATTTAATTTTAAAAAAAAGAAAATTATATGAAATTCACATCTCGGTGTCTATAACGAGTTTTATTGGAGCACAGCCACGCCCATTCATTTATGAATGGCTGTGGCTGCTTTCACGCCCCAACAGCACAAACTACATGGCCCACGAAGCCTAACGTATTTGCAATCTGGCCCCTGGCAGGAAAGGTTTGCCAGCCCCGGCCCTACACTGCTGCCTCCACCTCCCTGTGGCTCTCGGACACCAAATGCAGAAAGGACTCTAGACTTTTAATCAGATGGGGCGAAACTCTCCCTGACAAACACACAAAGACAAAAACCCTCGTCTCCTCATCTATTTTCTTGGTCATGGAGTGACACACAGAAACCAGCCAACTAGGGAGCCATCCCCTGCCCTGGCCCTCGGGAGGAAAGGCACAGACCGGGGTCAGGGGCAGAGCTGGGCCTGCTGAAGTGCAGGCTCCCTGAGCGGGGGCTCCACCTGCAGGGGGAGGGTTTTCTCACGTTCACAGAATAACGGTGGAAAGCAGCTGAGGCTTCCAGGTGTGTGTGCAGAGGGACCCTCACCCAGAGCAGAAGTCTGAGGAGAGGACAGAAGACTTACCTGCATCTGTCCTTTGGGCCATACAGGAATAGACGGAGGCCTGTAAATCACCCAGCGCCACGCCCACCCGGGTGCCCTTCGGGATTTCAAACCACGCATGGGCCGTTCTGCCTGCCACGCTGGCGGGCTCGGCGATGTCGGGGAGCAGGTGCACGGGAAAGCCGGAGGCCCTCAGTCTGCAAACGAGAAGTGGACAGCGCCTTGACCGGTGCCTGGTTTTCTGCTCTTTGTTGTTTCCAGAAAACCCAACAAAGGAAAGCGCTACAAGTCGGAGAAGGGAGGGGAGAGGCCAGTGTTTTCACAGGGGTCTCTCTGGCTTTTTGAAAACTATGAGAAATAGGCTGGGATTTTTTAAAGAGTGAACATTGGCCCGGCTGGTGTGGCTCAGTGGTTGAGTGCCGACCTATGAACCAGGAGGTTACACGCCTGGGTTGCAGGCTGGATCCCCAGTCGATGGCGACAGGAAGGTTTAAGTAAGAGCAGGCGGCACTGGCATCCGGCCCCTGTGTCTGAAGGGAACACAAGTACCCTGCAAAGGGAGTTTCAGTGCAAAGTCACGGTCGGTTAGCATGGGCCACACCAAAGTCAAACCCATCGGTCACCTCCTGAATACCAAATGCACTCATCACTCGGGGTTAGTGAGCGGGGCTGTCAGTGTTATGAAGCATGCTAGGAAGTCCTTTACCTGAACTACCAGGTGCTTTTTGTTTTATTACAGAGCTCAGAATTGGGGCCCTGAAGGAAGTGGACTTATAGGGCACTGGACTTCTGGACCTGAAAAGGCAAATGATTGTTTAAACAGAACTTAAAAGGCATCTCTCGCACCTACTGCTTCCATTTCTTAACCTTATTTTAAAATATATTCTAGACTGAAAGTTGTTCTTTGAAATCTGTAGGTTGGGCCGGGTCACAGAGAACCGGGGAGCCCACCCTAGGTATTGGGGACCGTGGGGGAGCAGGGCAGCCCTCCCCAAGGGCTTCACTTACCACCCGGCCCACCCATGCCCAGCGCCTGGAATGCCCACTGTTCCCAAATGGGAACGTCCAGTGAATCTCCGCTCCGGGGTCCTGCCCTTCGGCTGGAGCCAGCCCGCAAGGCTATACTCACATCTCCACGTTCCAGCTTTGGCTCTGGGTGTTGAAATATCCCCAGCTGGCGGCATTCTGGTCAGACATCAGGGGTCTTGGCAAGCCACACAGCATGGCAACCACATAGTCATGGATGGTGCCAGCTGCGTCGTAGGACTTCAGGAACTCGGGGCTGTTTTCACACCAAAAATAATTCAACATGGTCTAACGGTGACTTAAAGCCTGGGCTGCACCCAGCGGTGGGCAGTGCGGACCAGACATGGCAGAGCTGAGTGGCAGCCGGAACTCCACGTGTGTGGCTCCCCCAAATGGACCTCCGGAGGTGTGGCCCTCCAAGCAAAGCTGCCTTTAGGGGAGGGGACATCAACCATTCTCTGCAGCCCTGACCCCACCATGAACTCACCACATGACCCTTGGCAAGTCCCTTGTCCTCTCTAGCCCCTTCTCTCCCCGCTGGTTAGAACAGGATAACCAACAGAGAGCCCTCTGGGAAGCGAAGCAGCTCTAGACCAAGTCTAGGTCACATCACTGAACGATGGAGTGATGCTGACCAGCTGGAGGAGCAGCCCCCCGGGAAATACTGCACCCGATGCAGAGAACAGTTGTCTGTACCTATTTTTCAAAAGCCAGAAGATGGTTGCACAGCCAAACCCCGTGGCCACACTGAGATGGGACTCTGGCCGAGGCAGAGAAGCCAGGAACTCACTGTCACATCGGCCATCCTGCCACGTGACCAGGTGGCTCACAGCTCTGGGTGTGAAGGCAGGGGCAGCCCCTCCCTCTGTCCATTCACAGCCTGGAACAAAGGAGATTCGCAAAGTCAGAGAAAAGGGCAACTGACCAGCAGCAGCCTGTCCATGAGATGCTCTGCCAGTGAGGTTCCAGCAGACTGTGTCACCCACGAGAACGCTCCACTCGTACACATGGGGCACCTGGGGTCAGCACCCGGCTCCCCATCGACAGCTATGGGACTCTGGGCAAGTCACTCCCTCCATTTGTCCCACTTTTCCTAAGTTCCTTTTTATTCATTTTTTTAAGTTGATAGTATAACCCCTCCCCGCCCCAGGTAAGAAAAGAAGTGTAACACACTCTCATGTCCCCTAACTTCTGTCCTTTGAACCTGCATCATAATGAGATTATCCAGACTTGGATGCTAGGGATACAGACCATAAGCAGCAAATACACAATACCAGGTACTTTTAGTTGCTATGAAAAATGTACAGCAGGGTAAAAGGCGTGGCTCAGTTGGTTTGATTCCCAGTGAGGGCACGTGCCCAGGTTGCTAGTTTGGCCCCCAGTTGGAGGGTGTGTGGGAGGCATCAATGTTTCTCTCTCTCCCTCTCCCTTTCGCACTCTCTAAACAAATCAATAAAAGCATATTTTTTAAAAAGAAGAAGAAGAATATCTGGGAATGCGTGTGACAGAACTCTGAGGGTTCTGTCAATCTCTGGTTGGTCTCCCTGGCCAGTACCCAGAGGACCAGGGAGGCGTGTTACAGATGCCCGCACCTGAAGCATAGCACGCTTCTCCTGGGGGATGGGTGGCTCCTCCTCAGAGTCATCTACCCTCACAACACATTCCTACCTCAACCTAACGCTGGGTTCTTATCCAGCCCTAAAGCTGGATCTCTGCGGCTTTTCTTCAACCCCGTTATCTGATTCCAAAATTCTTTTGGCATTTTTATTTTTAGACTATCACATTTATTTTCTTTGTATTATAAAACAAATATGGAGTCCTTACCAAATACCCGGTATTATTCAAAGCACTTTAAAAATATTAATTCATTTAGTAGACATAATAGCCTTATAACATAGATGTGATCATTAGCCTCACTTTACACATAAGAAAAATGAAGAGCAGAGAAGTTAAAAATCATTTGCCAATGTTCACCTAAGTGGTAGAGCCGTAGCCTGTTTCAGTACAGAATCTGGCCTGACCGATACTCTTTCCTCTGTGTCTTCTTCTTTTTTTTTTTTTTTTTGTAAAGAATTGATATTTTAATTTTTTTAATTACACACACGCCAAGTGAATGCATTCTCAATATAAAATGTTCAAACATTACAGATCAAGCAAAAGGCCGGCTTGATGACTCCCCCAGAGTCCAGCCCCCTTCCTGTCACTGTCAGCACTTGCCGGGTAACCGCCCAAAGTTTACGCTCACACACATATTTTGGTTGGTTTGGTTGGTTTGAGTTGGGTTTGGGGATTTATTTTTGTCTATTAAAAAAAAATAGTACTCTACTGCATTTATTTTTCCAGGGGTTGTGTTTATCACCCAACAACATGTTCCGGAGTTCTTTTCATGTCCGTATACCTGAAAGGGCCTTATTCTTTTTAACTAGTGCACGTCACTCTACAGCGTGGGCATCCGAACATTATTTAACCGTTCCCCTGTGATGAAGTGCCACAGTGTTCACTACCATAAACAAGGATGCAGTGGGCGGCCATGATTATGCCTCCCCACGCACACATGTGTGTTAAAATACTTTTCCTGAATAGATTCCCAAGTAGTGGCGCTGTGGACTGATAGCAGCTGTCTTATTTATTCTTCCTTTTAGTAGAAGCTATCTTGTTTTTAATAGGCCCCGCCACATTGTCCTTCAAAACAGCGCTGCTAATTGACACTCCCAACAGCGGTATTTAAAAGAACCAATTTTCCACCCCTTTGCCAACTCTGGGCATTTTGATTTCTCGTGGCCCAGTGTGTGGAAAATGATTTCTCACAGTTGTTTTCATCGGAGCTCCCCTAATTACTAATGACACTGTCCTTTCTGTTATTTGTTCTTTATATGGACCCATATGCGTCCTCTGTCTACTATGCACCAGCAAATCTTTCCTCCCCGTCTGCTGCCTGCCTCTTGGCTTGGTTTTATGATCCCCACTTCTCTCCTGCTGTTTCTGCGCCTGAAAATGGAGTCTGGAAACAGGCGTAACCACAGGCCTCTCAGAAGACGCTGGTCACTCCCTCCCACTCCTCCAGCTGCCTCAACTGTTCCCTCGTGGAGGCACTTAGCTCTCTGCGCCGGTTACTGGTCCCCATCTATGTTGACTGCCTCGAGTGTGCCCTGGAAGGTGGGGGCTTCATCCATTCCTTTCTGTGGCTCCCGCGGGGCCCAGCACAGAGCCTTATACTCCGTATATGGTAGGTACTAAACCCAAACTGAATTACAGCCACCGTTAAAAGCGGGACAACCTGATCCCAAATTGATTTCACCCGGCTCTGCTAAGCAGGTATCATCATCATCCAACAGTGGCTTTCCTCCTTCCCAGAAACAGAAAACAAGACAAATAGGCATGCGGGCTGGCTCCATGAAATATTCAACAGCCTCTCCAACCAGAGCGATGGCTTGTGTGGCTGTGAGAGTCCAGGAGACGGGCAGAGAGGAAGGCATGGGACCAGACCACAATCATCAGATCTCTGCTGTCCTCTTCGGAAAGGGTTTTAGTATTAAAAGGTCATTTATTCTTGTTAATGCAAAATTAAGGAGTTTAAAAAGCTTTTACAACCTAGACTCCTTCTGAGAGGTCAGTTCTAACACCCTAACCGGCCTCTGCTCCTGCTACCGACGGGAGCCGAGCAGCGCCTGTGGTCCCAGCTGTCCCCACAACAGGCAGCTGAAAGGGAGGAAGGATGGAGGGAGCCTGCACTGGCTCACCCGGGCACCCAGCCCATCCAAGGATGCAGCCCTAGATGCCAGTGTGAGAGGCAAGTCACACTCACTTGGCCCAGGGGAATCAGAATCGCTGACTCTGGGGTGAATCCAACGTTCAAATGCCCTTAACGACAGCCCCCCAAAGTGGCCACCCATCCTCTGCTTAGGACACCTGCAGTAAAATGTTGGCATTTTAAAAGCGGGGTGATGGTTGTATTGGTCCCTAATACTATTCTCCTTACTTTTACATCAATATAGAATTTTTTATATAATTGCCAAAATATTTTCAATGCTTGCCATAACCGGGAGCACACAACTTCCTATGGAGTTTAATCCCTCCTGGGACATGCTGTTGGGAAGTTCTCCCCTCATTAAGCTGTTGTGCCCCCTGTAGCTCAGGTCCTCCCAGAGGCCTTTAAGAGTTCAGTGTCTGTACTCAGACATCCCTGGGTTCAAAAGCTGGAGTCATCATTTGCTGCCATATGACCCCAAGCATATATATTATTTTTTTAAATATACTTCTATTGATTTCAGAGAGCAAGGAAGAGGGAGAAAGAGATAGAAACATCCATGATGAGAGAGAATCATTGACCGGCTGCCTCCTGCACACCCCCACTGGGGATCGAGCCCGTAACCCGGGCATGTGCCCTTGACCGTAATCCAACCTGGGACCCTTTCAGTCCGCAGGCAGACACGCTATCCAGTGAGCCAAACCAGCCAGGGCCCCAAGCATATTATTTTAATCTCTCAGAATCTCAACTTTTCATCTCCACAGCGGGGGCAGTTAATGTAGCTTACGTCACAGGGCGTTGGGAAAGTTCGATGAGATCACGCAGGTAGCATCCTTTGCCTAGCACTTGGCATGTAAATTGCTCAATGCTATTTCGCTGGCTTAATTCTCCGCCTGGAGGCCAAACAGAACAAGTCGCCCACCCTGGCACTAGGGCAGACCTCCTGATATACAATGATCAACTAAATAATGCCTCGCTAGCAACTGAGCCCATGGAAAGGACACACCCTGAAATTTCAAAATCACAAACATCTGTGATTATATTAATAGTAATTTTTTAAAAACAGAAGAGTTTCCTCTGTGTCTTGGCATCTCCTACAGCGATACGACCTCCTGGCTGCCAGCAGCAACGCTCTGAGACACTGACATACAGAGAAAGCTACGGAAAACCCACGGCACAGAATCCTACAGGGAATCCGAGAGAACTCCCTCTCCTGTTCCTGGCTGATGGGCTGATGATGTCGAACGAATGGATAGTTCAGATTCATTAACACATCTGTACAAGTCAGGACGTACACAAAACACGAGGCAGCGTGAGCCACTGCATCCCCACGCTGACCCTCCAGACAGCCCTTGGCAGCGCTTTCTCGTTCCACGGTGACTCTTCAGAGCGTGTGATCACCCCCGGAGCCCCGCATACCTTGGCCTGTTTTCCAAAACAGGACTCCATGCATCTGTCCTGACACTCCGATGCCACCGACTTGGCGGAGCTGCTGCCGGGGAAGAGCAGCCAGGCACTCGTTTAGGGCTTGGATGATTCTACTCACATCCTGCTCCTGCGCCTGGAAACAGAACAGACACATAGGGCCAGGGCCTGCAGGGATTTCCTGGCGGTGGCTGCCCAGCTAATTCCACTGGAGTCCCGTGCTGACCGGCCTCGGGGAAGAGATGCGAGACTGAGGGTTCTCCCCACCTCCCCGACTTGGAGCAGGAATGTGGTGGGCAAGGTTGCACTTCCTCCCTTTGCGATGAGGCACAGCTGCAGACGAAGCTGGGCAAATGGCCCAGGCCCTGCCCGCCCCTTCACTGTGGGTGCAGTGAGCTGAGGAGAGCACTGCCCCTGCCCTACAAGAACTTACAGTCTAGCAGGAAGGGCAGGAAAGCACAAGACAGACCGTGCTGACAGGAGGAATAAGGTAAGGGTCTCTCCCAAGGCACAGAGTGTTGGAGTACGAGAAGGATGAAACACAGCAGCGAGGAACATTTCCTAAGTGCCCTGAGGGCCAGGCCCTGGACTTGGAAACAAAAACCCACCTAGAGAAGGCAGGCATGAGGAAGGCCAGGGAACACCTGGTACAGAACCAGGGGATTGGGCTATGCAAGGGGGTGGTGGGTGGTGAGGCTGGAAAAGAGGAGAGGTTGGGACCCAATCAGTGGGCTTCAAGCCCAGGGTGAGGGGCTCTTCCAATGGGTCCGGGCTGCCTGTCACTACTTGAGCCAATTCAGCAGACGCAGGATTGAATCATACATGAGCATTCATTCCAATACTGCCGGTAGTATGGGAGAGCAGCAGGTCATCCATGAAAATCTGCTCTGCACCCCACCATAAGCCAGCTGCTTATATGGAGTAGGATAAAGACTACGGGGGGAAGTAGAGATGACAGGCATGGGGAGGTAGGCTATGCAGGCTGGGGTGGAATTCCACTGTTTGGGCACCACAGTTGTTCATCCCCATGATAATAGGCAGTTCTTTTTTTCTTTTTATATACAGTGGGGCCTTGACTTACGATTGTCCTAATGAGTTTTTCGAGATACGAGCCGTCTCTCGGCCGATTTTTTGCTTTGAGTTGCGAGCTAAAATTCGGGTTGCGAGCCAGCTTCAGATACCCCACCGCTAGTTGGCGCAGCGAACGTCACAGTGAACGCCACAACATCAGCCCAGCATCACGTGTCTCACTCGTTCACTTTATGATTTGACATGAGTAATTTGAGTTATGAGCTTCGTCACGGAACGAATGAAACTCGTAAGTCAAGGCCCCACTGTATTTTTATTGATTTCAGAAAGGAACCCCACTGGTGCATGATCAGGGCTGGGGAGGGACGCAGGAGGTTGGCCAGTCAGGGAGGGATCGTGGGAGG